AACTTTATTTTGTTTCACTATTTTATCTAGAAATTTGTTAAAAGCAGTATGTATTCTTCATTAGGTATTTAACTGTATGCCTTACTGAGAGCAGTATGTATTTAACTTTATGCAAAGTGAAATACTCAAATATATTCAGCAGTATGTATCTAACTATACATACTATATTCAATTTGTTTTCAGCAGTACTGACTTCTATAATCAGTTTCTTCAACATACATATCTGTATATATAAAGCTTCTTCAATGAAGTTTGTTTTCCTTGTTTTAATTCAATGTACTGATGCTATGTATTCAACTTTATATATAGCATATTGATGTCATATTTTACTACCTGAGAAAGAAAGGCAAGCACAACCAAACCACCACATTCAAATATACAACTGTTGATTGTATATTCAAGACAAGAATTACTGAAATCTTCGACAGGTATGCTGATACAGATGGTAATGCAAGTGTAGCCAAAGAAGAAGATATGGTATGTGAGTACATAAGGGGCTACAGATTGCTAGCTAATGTACCATGGCATATGGTTGACAATGTCTTGATACCAGTCAAGTTGAAGGATAAACTTCATTGGATATTGGCAGTTGTCTCATTCAAGAAGAGATGTATCAACGTATATGACTCATACCGATCAACAGGTCATGATGCCTATGTGGGTTCAGAGATAGATAAGCTTGCTAAGCTTGTACCTCTGTATCTATCAATCAGTGGTTTTTACAGAGATAAGCAAGGCATAGATTGGTCTTGTTAACCAGCATACAATGACAAGGCACAAACTGATCCCTTTGATGTTGTTTTCATTTTGAATCTGCCTCAACAAAAGGCTGGGAGCATGTATGTATTCAATCCTCTTACTTATATCATTTATAACACTAATAATATGAATTATATTTAATTGTGTCAATCTACATTTTCAGGGATTATGGGTTGCATGTCGCGGCATACGCAGAGTATCTGAGCACTTTTGGTTTGGTTCCACAAACAACGTTTGATTCCAATTTACTCCGTCAAAGATATGGTGCCCTCCTTTGGGACTATGCTATGCGGAAGATAGACGCCGATGACATAAGCGAGAATGAAGCACCCTCAAAGATTGTTAGTCAAATCACAGATTCGGACACTTCTGTGAAGATAGTTTTAGAATAGTTTTCTATGAAGATATATTTTTTGAAGATGGTTTCTCTGAAGATAGTTTATGAAGATAGTTTTTTTAACATAGTTTTCTATGAAGAATAGTCCTTTGTGAAGATAGTTTTTGAAGCTTATTAAAGAATACATGATGGTTTTAGTCAACCTATTTTGTTTTTAGAATACATAACTTTTTTGTTTATAAGATGTTGTTGAAGGAATACATAACAGCCTCTAAGTTATGTTGTCATGTAACGACCCGGCCGGTCGTTTCATGAGTTACCGCTCCGTCCCCCATTTCTGCTTCTTATTGCTTTGTTTATCGGTTCTATGTGTGATCGAGTTGGTTGGCTCGGGTTCGGAAAGGTTTTGGTAAGGTTTGAGACACTTAGTCTCTTTTAAGAAAGCTTAAGTTGGAAAAGTCAACTGGATGTTGACTTATGTGTTAGAGGGCTCGGATGTGAATTTAGATGGTTTGGATAGCCTCGGGAGGTGATTTGAGGATTAGGAGCGTGATCAGAATGTGTTTTGGAGGTCCGTAGTAGATTTAGGCTTGAATTGGCGAAAGTGGAATTTTGGCGTTTTCTGGTCGATAGGTGAGATTTTGGTATAGGGGTCAGAATGGAATTCTGGAAGATGCAACAGCTCCGTTGTGTCATTTGGGATGTGTGTGCAAAATTTCATACCATTCGGACGTGGTTTGGAATACTTTTTGAGCAAAAGCGCAATTCGGAAGATTTTAGAACCTTAGGCTTGAATTCGATGTGTTTTGGTTGTTTTGATGTTGTTTGAGGTGTTTTGAAGGTTGGTATAAGTTTGAATGGTAGTATAAGACTTGTTGGTGCTTTTGGTTGAGGTCCCGGGGGCCTCGGGGTGATTTCGGATGGTTGCCGAAGAGTTTGGGAGTTTGGTGAAGCTGCAGATTTTTCTGTTCTATTGTTTCCACACCTGCGGATTGGGGGCCGCAGGTGCGACGCTGCAAATGCGGTATGCCAGTCGCAGAAGCGAAAAGGGACCAAGGGATCTGGGACCACAGAAGCAATCTAGGAGCCGCACCTGCGATGGCGCAGGTGCGGATTATGCGTCGCAGATGCGAAATTTGGCGATTTAAGTGATTTGCACAGAAGCGCACCTGGGACCGCAGGTGCGTGTCCGCAGGTGCGAGTTTGGGACCACAGAAGCGGTTTAGCCGGGGCAGAAGGTATAAATTATTTCCTTCGCGATTTTTTAGCTATTCCACCATTGCTAAGTCGGTTTTTGGATCTTTTTGGGCGATTTGAAGAAGGATTTCAAGGGGATTTCATTGAGGTAAGGATTTTGGACCTAAAACTCGTTCCTATGGTATTATTTCACGGATTAGAGCTGTAATTAATGGAATTTAAGGATTTAAAATTGGGGAAACTAGGGCTTGGTATTGGAGACCTAGACTTGAGGATTTGAGGGGCCATTTGTGGTCGGATTTTGGAACTTTTGATATGTATGAACTCGTGGGGAGATAAGGAATCTAATGATGTAAAATTTATCGAATTCCGAGACGTGGGACCGGGGGTCGGGTTTGGTTAATTCCGAGATTTGGAGCATCCGGAGGTCGATTCGAGGGGCAAAGGCATCGCAAGCTAGAGTTTGGGCCGGATTAAGGTGAGTAATGATTGTAAATGTTGTCCTGAGGGTATGAAACCCCGGATTACACATCGTTGTGCTATGGTGAGGTGACGTACATGCTAGACGACGAGCGTGGGGTCGTGTACCGTTGGGTATTGTGACTTGGTCCATCCCGAATGACTGTTTTACTGCGTATTTGATTGCAAATTGTTTGATGTTATCATGTTTTGGGCTAAATGCCATATTTGGGCTTCGTGCCAACTGTTTGGACCCTTAGGGGATTTTTACTGTCATTTCCTCACTATTTTAACTTTATACTTGTACTCAGTCATGCTATATTTTACTGTTTTCATCACTCAGCCATGTTTACTCTACTTTAAACACCTTAAATGATATATTAAAAGATATTTTGAGTTGAGCATCATCTTTTACTGTTGCCCGAGTGGCTTATGAGATTCTGACTGAGTAAGGCTGAGGGATTGTGTTGTGAGGATACTTTTGGGTCGGGCTGCACGCCGCAGCGGTGAGACACTGATTATTGTTATGAGGCTGGGGGCCTGAGATTTGTACGCCACGAGGTGGCTTGTCGATATGAGGCCGACAACCTATTGATTATGCCACGAGATGGCGTGATATTGTGCTTGGGCCGTAAGGGGCCCCTCCTAGAGTCTGTACATCCCCAGTGAGCGCGGGTACCCATTGTGATATGAGATATAGCCCGAGGGGCTGGTATTGTTCTATTTATTGCCTGAGGGGCTGATTCTGTTGTTATTGTGCCCGTGGGACAGTTTTTATGTATTTATCTTTTCTAGCTGCCTTTCATTTACTTGTTTAACTGCTTAAAAGGTGCTTTATGAGGTTACACTGTTTAATTGTGCTTACTGATTTTTTACTCTGCCTCTTTCTAGCATATTGTTGTGTTTAACCTGATTTCTTATCGCTCAGTACTCATTTATTGTTATTACTCACTGAGTTGGAGTACTCTCTTTACTCCCTGCACCTTGTGTGCAGATTCGGGCGCTACAGGTCCTGCTAGTGAGGGTTGATAGCTTTTAGCAGATTTCTGGAGTCCACTAGGTAGCTGCTCGGCATTCGCAGCCTAGTGTTTCTCCCTCTTATCATTATTTCTTTCTCTTGTACTGGATTCGTAATAGACTATAGTAGTCCCTATTTCTATGTTTCGAGACTTATGTTAGATGCTCATGACTGGTGACACCCCGATGTCGGGCTGTGTTGGTTGTTTTCCGCAATTTATACTATTTCAGTTATGTTTTGGGATTATTAGTATGTTAATGACTTAAATTGTGTTATTATAATTTTTTAATATGAATTGAGAGTTGTGTCGGCTGGCCTTGTCTTCACGAGAGGCGCCATCACGACCAGGTCTGGGTCTAGGGTCGTGACATGTCATCAGTTTATTCAATTTATCTAAAGCTTCAATGTGTTTCACTGAATTATCCAACTATATGTATTCGGCAGTATGTATTTAGTGTAGTCCAGTATGTATTCTTATGTATTTAGATATATTTTTAACTAATATCAGTTATGTGATTCCCATATATGTTCAGCAGTAAATTTGTAATGCAAGTTATGTATTCACTTTATGCACTGTATTCAATGTAGTTATTATTTTCTATGTTTTCAATTTATTCGCTGTATTTTCATTGTATTCAATGTATATCAATGTCTTCTTCTTTTTCAAGATATTCAATGTAATTCTATAAATTCAAAGCTTCACTTTGTTCCACTATTTTTTTCAGCAATATATATTCAGCAGTATGTCTTCAATGAATTGTAGAATGTATTCATAGCTTTTTTAATTAATATAATTTATGTATTCAGATGTGTATATGTATTTAACTATATCTGCAGTATGTATTCAATGTATTGCACTATTGATGACCTGTTATAACTCATTTCTGTATATAAATTAATTTGTAAAGATATCACTAAAAAATATTTTTAGTGATCTGAAATTAAAAAATTTGATACACCAATAAATCAAAATGTAATATAAAACTTGAACAAATATGTGACATATTGTTATTGCAGTAATTGAATACATAACATGAACTAATTCCTACGTGGAGCATTTCTACAAGTACGCTTATTATGTTCTCCTTGACCACAAATACTACATGAATGTTGATTTTTCTTCTGAAACAATTCACTGAACGGCTTATCGCTCTTCTTCTTTGGCCTTCTAGGAGGTCTTTTCCATTTGGGTGGTAAGACAAATTCCTCAGATATATGTGCTGGTATATTTCATTCACTTCGGTCGAGCAGTGGATACACTGGCACCTCGTATGTCATTATAACGGTCTTTGGTTTGTAATAGTCCGAGCAATAATCTTCCGGCATTAGAAGCTTGCTTTTCAAGACAGCCCAAGCATGTGGGCATGGTAATTCGTCAACTTGGAACCGCCTACAACTGCATTTTTTCTCTAAGAGGCAAATGGTGTAATGCCTTCCTTCATCGTTCACCATATGCAAGTGTTCAGTCGATGGTACAACCTACATAAAACAGAGAAATATACGTATTAATTACAGAATATATATCTCAAAGAATATACGTACTAATTACAGAATATATGTATTCAATAAAAAAAAGTTTAAATATGCAGCATGTCAACAAATATTAAACTTTCAGAAATCTAAATATAATATATGTATGTATAAAATACAATCACATACAGTGAAATACAATGAAATATATGGAATACAACGAGTATAAACTATATTAAGACTGACAAACTATTGAAGATGAACACATTTAACTGAGGAATACAGTGATATACATTAAAATACAGTCTATCTACTAGAAAATGCATCTAATTTGAAACAAAACTATTGAATACAAACAATGAAATGCAAATGTATAAACAAGTAATGCATACATATAATAACCAGTTTTTAAAACCGTTTCATACAACAGAATACATGCACAAGTGCTATAATACAATGAGCATGCAATATGTTAATAGTATAAATTGTATCATAAATAAAAACATGTTATACCAGGTCTAAATACATGATGCAAGGACTTAAAACAAAAAAAAACTTACAGTCATACGTGTAGATATTGCCTCATCCAAAGTAAGCATCTCCTGGTATTTTTCCCAAGCGTTGTGTAAGTGTGTGAAGCTTCTTTTCGATTGCTGCAATTCCAACGTCCAAACATCTTCCTAACTTCTTCTAGGATGTCGTATACTGGTAATTCTCTTGCTAATACAAGTGTGGCATTGATTGATTCAGCAATATTTGACGTCATGGTCCATCCACGGTTAACAAGTGCATATAACCTAGCCCACTTTTCGTACCCAGCTAATTTCAAGTATTCTTGCACCCAAATATCTACATTCTCCACCTTTTCTATTAGACTATCAAATTCATTCTGAGTGTATGCTTTTGCCATCGAGAAGTATATCTCGCTCAAATTTGAATGACTCTTTTTGAATTTCTTGTTCAATAGATGCCATATACAAGCAAGATGGGGTACCGTAGGATACACTTTCGCTACAGATTTGATGATGCTCTCATTCATATCTGAAACGATGCATATGTTTTCTCTCTCACCATATGCTTCCTTGAATTACTCAAAGAACCACGACCAAGCAGCATCATTCTCTGAATCAACAACGCCATATGCTAGTGGCATTATATGACCTATAAATACAATTGCATACATATATAAAAAAATATCATTCAATATGTATTATGTAGTAAATTTTTCTATAATAAATATATATTTTTTTTAACAGACTCACCTGTACCATCCAACGTGCTAGCTGAGACGAATGTCCCTGTGTATGCCAATTTTAGGTGGTTACCATCCACAACCACGATGGGTCTATAGTGATCGAACCCCTGTATAAAAGCATACGATGATATATATAAATACATGAACTCATTTTTTGGTGAAAATACCATTCTAATATGAGAACCTAGGTATATCATATCCAGTGTATATAAGTACCTTGGCAATTTATTGTATGAATATGTCGATTCACCTCTCAAAAAATTTATTGCCTTTTCTTTAGCCCGCCACGCCAACATGTAACTAATATCTACACCAAAGTCTGATTTCACATCATTAATTATATCCTTTTGGGTGTATTGTAACGACCCGGCCGGTCGTTTCATGAGTCACCGCTTTGTTTCCCCCATTTCTGCTTCTTATTGCTTTATTTATTGGTTCTATATGTGATCGGGTTGGTTGGCTCGGGTTCGGAAAGGTTTTGAGAAGGTTTGAGACACTTAGTCTCTTTTGAGGAAGATTAAGTTGGAAAAGTCAACCGGATGTTGACTTATGTGTTAGAGGGCTCGGATGTGAGTTCCGATGGTTCGGATAGCTTCGGGAGGTGCTTTGGGACTTAGGAGCGTGATCGGAATGTGTTTTGGAGGTCCGTAGTAGATTTAGGCTTGAATTGGCAAAATTGGATTTTTGGCGTTTTCCGGTTGATAGGTGAGATTTTTATATAGGGGTCGGAATGGAATTTCGGGAGTTGCAGTAATTCCGTTGTGCCATTTGGGATGTGTGTGCAAAATTTCAGGTCATTCGGACGTGCTTTGGTTGGGTTTTTGATCAAAAGCGTAATTTAGAAGATTTTGGAATTCCTAGGCTTGAATCCGATGCGAATTTGGGGTTTCGATGTTGTTTTCAGAGTTCCGAAGATTGGAAAAAGTTTGAATGATGTTATGGGATATGTTGGCATATTTGTTTGAGGTCCCGAGGGCCTCGGGTGAGTTTCGGTTGGTCAATCGGACCAGTTCATGTTTTGGAAAAATGCAGAAAACTGTTGTTCAGTGTTGCAGAGAAATGACCTTCGCGTTCGCGAGTAGGCCCTCGCGTTCGCGAAGGGTTAGTAGGTGAGGCTGAGGATTTAGCCTTCACGTTCGCGAGGGAGACTACGTGTTCGCTAAGGGGCTGGGATCTTGTGCATCGCGTTCGCGAGGTATCAGACGCGTTCGCGTAGAGGAAGTTGAGCAGCTGGGGTTCAGGTGGAATTGTTCTTCGCGTTCGCGGAAGGGGAGACGCGTTCGCGGTGAGTAAAGGTGCTAAGCCTTCGTGTTCGTGAGCTGGGTAATGCGATCGCGATGAAGGAATTTTGGTCAAAGTAAGTTTGCGCTTCGCGAACGCGAGGCGTTGACCGCGTTCGCGAAGAATGTTTTTATGCCTGGGCAGAATGTTTTAATAGCCATTGTCCGCGATTTTGAGGTTAACTTCCACCATTTTTTAGCGATTTTGGAGCTTTTTGAAGAGGATTGAAGAGGGATTCAAGGGGAAACACTTGGAGGTAAGATTTATGGACTTAATACTCGATTCTAATGTTGATTCTACCTAATTAATCATGGAATTTAAGCCTTATATTAAAGAACCAGGGCTTGTAATTGGAGACCTAGAATTTGGGAATTTCGGGGTCGTCTGTGGTTGGATTTTGATGCTTTTGGTATGAATCAACTCGGGGAGTGATAAGGAGTCTATTGATGTAAATTTTATCGGAATCCGAGACGTGGGCCCGGGGGTCGGGTTTGACCAATTTCAGGTTTTGTGTTGTAATTTGATTTCTTTCGAGTGGGCTTTGTTCACTTAGCATATTTTGATGGTTTTGCACTGATTTTTTGTTAGATTCGGAGCATCCGGAGGCCGATTCGAGGGGCAAAGGCATCGCGAGCTAGAGTTTGGGCCAGATTGAGGTAAGTAATGATTGTAAATGCTGTCCTGAGGGTATGAAACCCCGAATCACACATCGTTGTGCTATGTTGAGGTGACGCACACGCTAGATGAAGAGCGTGGGGTTGTGCACCGTTGGGGATTGTGAGTTGGTCCATCCCGAATGACTGTTTTCTGCGTATTTGATTGTCAATTGTGTGATGTTATCATGTTTTGGGCTAAATGCCATATTTGGGCTTCGTGCCAACTATATGGAACCTTAGGGGATTTTTCCTACCATTTCCTCACTGTTTTGACCTTATACTTGTACTCAGTCATGCTATCATTTACTGTTTTCATAACTCAACCATGTTTACTCTATTTTAACACCTTAAACGATATTTTAAAAGTTATTTTGAGCTTAGCATCATGATTTACTGTTGCCCGTGTGGCTTATGAGATTCTAACTGAGTAAGGCCGAGGGCCTGGGTTGTGAGGATACTTTGGGTCGGTCTGCACGCCACAACGTTGATACACTGATTATGATTATGAGGTCGAGGGCCTGAGATTGTACGCCACGAGGTGACTTGTTGATATGAGGCCGAGAGCCTATGTGATTATGCCACGAGATGGCTTGATATTGCGCTTGGGCCGTAAGGGGCCCCTCCCGGAGTCTGTACACCCCCAGTTAGCGCGGGTACCCATTGTGATATGAGATATAGCCCGAGGGGCTTGTATTGTTCTATGTTATTGCCCGAGGGGCTGGTTCTGTTGTTATTATGCCCGAGGGGCGGTTCTTATGTGTTTACCTTGTCCAGCTGCTTTTCCTTTACTTGTTTAACTGCTTACAAGGTACTTTATGAGATTGCACTGTTTAATTATACTTTACTGATTTTACTCTCCCTCTTATAGCATATTTTTGTGTTTAACGTGATTTCTTATCGCTCAGTCTTCATTTATTGTTATTACTCACTGAGTTGGAGTACTCACTTTACTCCCTGCACCCAGTGTGGAGATTCAGGCGCTTCAGGTCCTGCTTGCGAGGGTTGAGAGAGCTTCCAGCAGATTCCGGAGATTTACTAGGTATCTACCCGGTGATTCGCAGCCCAGTGCTTCTCCCTCTATCTTATTTCCTTCTATTTTAGTTACGTAATAGTTGTGTAGACTCGTTTCAGACTTGTTATTGTTATGATAGATGCTCATGACTGGTGACACCCCGAAGTCGGGCTATGTCTACTCCGCAACTGTATTGTTTACCTTATTTTGGGATTATTATTATTTTTTTAAAAGACTTGGTTTTATTACTTAATTGCTTTAAAATAAATTGGGAATGTGTCTGCTGGCCTTGTCTTCACGAGAGGCGTCATCACGACCGGGTCCGGGTTTAGGGTCGTGACAAGTTGGTATCAGAGCCTGGGTTACATAGGTCTCACGAGTCATGAGTAGGTTTGGTAGAGTCTCGCGGATCAGTACAGAGACATCTGTATTTTTCCTCGAGAGGCTGCAGAACCTTTAAGAAAATTCCATATTCTTGAAATTCTTGTCGTGCGAATCTGTTGACCCGGGTACTAAACTTCTGTTATTCTATTATCTCACAGATGGTGAGGACACGAGCGACCGGTCAGGATGGACGACCACCAGTACCTTCAGCTGGGGCCACTAGAGGCCGAGGATGCGGTTGAGGCCGTGATAGGGGCAGGGGTGTAGCCCGCATAGCAGCTGGGGCAGCACCTGCAGATCCACCAGCCGCCCTAGTTCTAGATCAGGTCCCAATTGTGGATGCTGCAGCAACATAAACTCCGGCACCGGCTGTGCCCATTGTGATTCCAGGTCTTCAGGAGACTTTGGCCCAGATCTTGACAGTATGTACGAGTCTTGCTCAGGCGGTCGCGGTTTCTATTGCCGCAACCACTTCTCAGGCCGGGGGAGGCTCTCAGACTCTCGCCGCCCGCACACCCGATCAGGTTGCTCAGGGATTGCTGACACTGGAGGTACCACTAGCCCAGCCGGTGGCAGCTGCTCAAGGTTACGTAGCTCCAGTTATGCCAGAGGACGAGCAGCGCAGATTGGAGAGGTTTGGCAGACTCCAGCCTCCTACTTTCAGTGGTGCAGAGGGCGAGGATGCCCAGGGTTTTTTGGATAGATGTCAGAGGATTTTTCGCACCTCGGGTATTCTGGAGACCAGTGGGGTCGCATTCACGATTTTCAATTTACGGGAGCTACCTTCACTTGGTGGGAGGCATATGAGAGGCGTAGGCCTGCTGGTGAGGCACCTCTTACTTGGCAGCAGTTCTCCGTTCTATTTTTGGAGAAGTGTGTTCCACAGTCTCACAGGGAGGAGCTGCATAGGTAGTTCGATCAGTTGCGACAAGGGGATATGAATGTTACTCAGTACGAGATGAGGTTCTCAGAGTTAGCTCGTCATGCTATTTGGCTGGTTGCTACGGAGAGAGAGAGGATCAGGAGGTTTGTCGATGGCCTCACAGACCAACTTCGAATTCTCATGACTAGCGGGAGAGTGTCAGGTGCTACGTTTGAGGAGGTGGTGGATATCGCTCATGAGATTGAGGCAGTTTGTCGCCAAGAGCGCGAGGAGAGGGAGGCCAAGAGGCCTCGAGGACATGGTAGTTTTGGGGGTGCTCCTTCGAGGGGTCAGTTTCAGCACGGCAGAGGCCGTCAGTTCAGGCATGCTCAGTCAGCTCGCCCGGGTTATCGTGGAGCATCATCGGTCCATGGTTCTCATGGTTCTCACGGTTCTCAGC